AATAAATAACTTCATTGATTTATTCCTCAATTACTTTATTCATTGGTCCATTGTTGCTTGCATACAGAGATTTAAGGTAGTGCTTTATTGTCAAAAATTATTCCAAAAAATATCTAAATATATACTAATATAACAGGTTTTTTTTGTTTGAAAATATTATTTGTTTATATTAATCATATTATTTTACTGGTAAATCCAAAAAATGTCCTAAGGAAAAGTTATAAATGAAATTTGTTTATTAAAATTAATTAATAAACAACGTATCAAAATGTCAGGTTTTACAATATTATTCATTCATACGATATTGTAAAAACCTGACATTTTGATATGTTTTTTTTTCAATATATTTTGCGATATGAATACAATTTCGCCAGATGTCTTGAATGGCTCTATTTGCAAAGAATTCATTCATGTAAATTGATTGGGATTTTTCCGTATGATGGGGAATCTACTAAACATATTACAAGCGTAAATAAATTCAATAGAGCAAAGATAAAAGTAAAAATAAACAGTGATTAATGGGGAGTTAAACAGTATTCAGATACAGAAATTGATTTATTAAATGTAAAATAACATTGTACAGTCTTCGTTTAAAAACAATTCAACAAAATGAATCTTTATTAACATTACAGATAGCACAACTGCTTGTTCTGGAATGCTTTAAAGTGATTCAAATTGCTCACACAGTCACACACACAATCAAATAATAAACTTTCACTCTATTGCTCTGCTATGATTCAACTGCAGACTCCACAAATCTCATGTGTTCTGAACAGTGGCTCCTGGTCAACTATAGTCCTGCAATGTTACTATTATTGATGCTGAAAAGGTATATTGTACATCCCTCAGTCATTCATTCATAGAAATTGTTTCTTTCTTACCATTGGGGAGATACTTAAGTGTCATGATATATTATTTGCAATCAGCAAAATGTTCCTCCCACAGTCAGTGGTGTATAATTACTTCCTATCAGAGGATTCATTTCATATTAAAGCCCTTCCCACTCAAATAAATACGTCACAGCAGTCTCAAGCACCACAACAATAACCGTCTCTGTCTCATCTCTTTCTGATTACCTCCATGTGTGTGTGTGTGGATCTGAACAGCTCTGAATTGGCCGTCTGTTGGGTCACCTGTAGACGGTGGTGATGTTGGGCTGCGGGCAGAGCCAGAGGGGGTTTCTGAAGGAGCCCGAGTGCCCTGATTCACTTTGAATCATTCAAAGCGCTCGCTGTGCACCTCAGAGACCTGCTCTGGCTCTTTCTCAAACAAAATGGCTAAAAGCATTGCACACACACTCACACAAACATTTACAAGAAAAGCATGATGACGGTCTATGTGGTTACTGAAGGTGCTGTGTGTTTCAAGTTTATTTCAAGTGTAACTATGTGTTGTTATTTAAATGGTTTGATCGACATGGGCTTTTCAATGAGTGATTCTTAACCTTAATGCTCAGCTTGGGCTTTGAGATGGCAACGCCATTTTTACAGTTGGAAAATATGTTTAAGATTTGTATTGGTCCTGTCAGTACTTCTTGTTCTTTAATTAATGTATTTTGGATGATAATGTAATTCCAGATTGAGTTAAATATGTTTTTATGTATATTAATTGCAATGTGTGTATTTTATTCATATTTTAAATTATTTTTTTATTTGACATATTAATCTATTAAATCCTCAGCTATTTTGCCAGTATTAATGCATTTTTAAGTTAAAATGTTTTGCAATTAATACCCTTTTTACATTTTGAACATTCATTTATATAGATTTATAAAATATATTACATTTTTAACTATATTATCTGCTAATGTATTTGGATATAAACATTCTTTATGAATGATATCTCATGACTGATGTCGACATGAGTACAAACACACACTGTAAACTAGAAGTGTTGTTTTACAGATAATTGTCTGTATTTTTACAGAATTTTCCAGTTTTTTCATTATACAGTGACATAGCTGTTATTTTGCAGATATTTTCTGTAACAAAAATTCTAACATTAAATTTCCATTTATTGCTTGTATGTTGGTATTTTGTCATTTTTTTATTTATTTTTATTTTTTAAATGTCTGTATTTTCGGAGAGTAACATGTAACTTTACGTCAATATTTACAGATTATTTATGTGAAATTAGGGAAACAAAAATTAAGGCAAATCGTTTTTAGTACTATTAAAGATAGTAATCATATGAAGATTAAAGTGAGGTTAATAATGTCAAATAATAGCCTTTTGTTTGTAATCTTCATATATTGCATGCACTGTAAACTATAAAATATTTTACATATATATATATATATATATATATATATATATATATATATATATATATATATATATATATATATATATATATATACGTTATATAATATATATGTTATAAAAGTGTTTACAAATTTTTTATTATATTTTCCCCACAAAGGGTTGGACTTAAACTGCGCAGACACCCTTGTTTTAAGGTTTTATTTTACTTAAATTTTTTGTAATGCATAGTGTAAAAAGGCTCTAAATAACTGTTATACCCACTCTAAAAAGAGATAGATATTTTTGTTTATAATTTATTTTTGTTTTGACCCTTTGATTTGTTACTGTGTTTGCCGCCTTTACCCTTTAGACTTACGGTGACCGGGAAGTGCAAAACAACATTACAAAGTGTGAAACACTTTCACGAAGCTCGAGACAAATTTACATTTTGGAAAAAATTTTTACTTATCATAAGACACAATTTTATAGGGAAAACAATTTTTTGAAAAGAATTAATAAAACGCAAATTACTTTTACCTGAAACAAATTTACAATTACAGATTCTTTACGGAAAGGGAACGTACCACATACAGGAAGTGGCACGTTGAAAAGTGTTGTTGTCGTAGATTGTGAGCACGGTACATTTGTGTTGTGGAGAACATTGCGTAAATATACTATATGGTGACCGAACATGGACTGCGATCAAGGGTTGTTTAGTCCGTTTTGTTGCAAACACATGAGCAGCTTAACGCGTTTTTTTTATTACGTGTGGTTGGTATTTGGAGTTACTAAAGGACACGGACCAGACAGAAACACGTACCACACAAAACACTCGTACGCTGTAATCGTGGACATGATGTCAAGTCTACACAGTGTAAACCTCTGCTTGAAGACTCTTTAAAGTAAACTGAACGAAGCCGTTGTTACGGTTTAACTGGTGTCAGTGTTAACTGGTGACCCTTTCCAGATGTGAACAATTTGCATTTGCAGATTGGCAGACTGATCACTTTTTCACAGCAACAAAACATTTCAGATAAATATTCTTATTGCTTGCTGTCAGTGTCATTGTAAACACTGTTGATTTTAATATTTGTGTGGCAGAACAGTATAAAACCAAAATTAATGTTAAAAAATAATTATAATTTACATGTCATCAATGGGTTTTAAACCCAAGTCAAAATGTTCAACAGAAGTATCAATTGGCCTATCTAACTGAGCAAAAAGACACATTTGGAGCTCTTGAAAGCAGCAAGACTGTGGGTGCATTAGCATAACTTTTTGTCTGTTCTATATGAAAGAGAACTGATCACAGTTGCATTCCAGGCACGGTTGTTTCAAGCAAGGAAACAGTCGCGCGCATCACATCAGCTGACTGATCATCCTCTCATTCTTCATTCACCTGCTTTCTACTGCTCGCACGAAAGCAATTATTTTTGTTAGCTGTGCTGTTTCTCAATTCTAAGATCACATTTGCACTCATATTGGGTCGTCCTTATAGACGAACCCTGCTTTTAAGAAAACTACAATTTTAAAATAATTTTCAACCAGCCAAAGTGGCTAGTGGGGGTGACTGTCTAACCCGCCGAAGCTGAAATCTACCCACATTGGTTGGCGGGTGTTAATGTTAAACCCTGATTACAATTATAATCTGTAAAATGACAATAATAAATTTTAAACTGTTTATTTACAGTTTTATCTACATTTTTTTTATTCTGACAGTTTGTTTTCCATTTTTATTATCAACAGTAATAAACTGCAATTTAGTGTATTTTGACTGTAAAGCATGTTCTGTATTTTTATAGTTTTTGAATGAAATTTTGTGAAATGGTTATTTTCTGTAATTTAACGGAATATCTCTGGAAGCCCTGCCACAAGTCTTTTGATTGTTTTTTTTTTTACAGATTGTTTTTACAGTGCACTCTGACAGCTGATTATTTTACTTTACTATATTACATCTTTCCATCATGTGTAAAATACTTTAAAACCAGTCATAGTTTGTGAAATAAATGGTAATTTTATGGTAAAATGAAAGGTTAATGTTTTAATGATATATGTCACATTCACTTTAATCTGTAATGAAATAAATGGTTGATTGCATGTTACGTATAACCACCAAAATAATCATTCAAATGAATAATTATTAAAATCAGTGCATTTAGTATTGTATCTACTATGAATTCCTCCATTTTAACAGCTGCGGTTTTCACAGTAATATCCATTAATCTTAGCTTGAGAGAACTCGATGCATCAGTGTTCCTCAAAATGAAAAGCAATTCCGGTACAAAGCAAGCGTTTGAGCAGTGCACGCTTTAATGCAGCGGAGAATGTGACAGTATATGTCAGCATGGTTTCCCCCTACATAGGGCACATGTATTTGGTACGATAAACCTCTTCATTAGCTGGTCACATGTTATGCCCGAGGGCAGAAGCGTTATTTTTGTTCATTTGTCATCTTGAGCACACAGCCGAGTGAACAGGGGCTGTCAGCGAATGCACAAGACGGCATGCATACGTGCACACACACACACACATACACGAATATAAGGCATGCAGCTTACTAGAACTGTGCTCATTGACCTGATAAATGCTTAAGAGAACGCATCAAAATAAACACACCAAGACACATTTACTTTGGTATTTAAAGATAAAATGGACTCCTGTAGTGTGTGTATTTGTATGCGTGCCAGCACATGCACGCAAAAAGAAATAGATTGGTATTTGAATCTGTCTCTCTCTCTGTTCTCTTCATGGCTGCAGGAACGTTTCGAGGCGTCTGTAAGAAGATTGACCACTTTCCGGAGGATGCAGATTATGAGCAGGATGCAGCCGAGTATTTACTACGTAAGTCTGTCAAAACAGCACACATCAGGGGCGAGGCAAGGCACCTTATCAAAATAAATTGGATGAGAAAGCAGAGCAAATATTTATAAAAAGCGAGGCAGCATCTGTTTTGGCTTCTGGTTCTCACTGAGGTCCTTAAGTGTGATGTAAAAATTATGGGCAGAAAGTCATTTGAGGGTGTCTCCATGTTACTGTGATTTGTGAATGACACTGTCAGTCGCATGCAAATTGTGATCCACAAATTGTCTGAATGGTACAGTGGCTAAGAGTGCTTAAATACACTTCAAGTTGAGAAAACATGCAAATAGAACAAAATTTAAGAATATATCTTTGACAGGTTGACAAACGTGCATGCAAATTCTCACAACACATGCAAATAACGAAAGCTTTGCGAGTAACACAGACCATAACAGAAATATGTCAGGGGAGCTGCTCCTTGGAGTCATCAGTTCATTTAATGTTAATTGTACAATTCATCAAATTATTAGGTCGAAAAAATATACAAACAACAAGGAACATGCATATTTCATGCATAAGTTTTAAATAATCCCACAGCCCCCCTTTCTTTTTCTCTTTTCTGCAAATATTGACAGACTTTTTAATTATATTGTGAGGAATCTGATATTCCAATTTTCAGAACATTCATTCATTCATTCATTTTCTTGTCGGCTTAGTCCCTTTATTGATCCGGGGTCGCCACAGCGGAATGAACCGCCAACTTATCCAGCAAGTTTTTACACAGCGGATGCCCTTCCAGCCGCAACCCATCTCTGGGAAACATCCACACACACATTCACACACACACTCATAGACTACTGACAATTTAGCCTACCCAATTGACCTGTACCACATGTCTTTGGACTGTGGGGGAAACCGGAGCACCCGGAGGAAACCCACGCGAACACAGGGAGAACATGCAAACTCCACACAGAAAAGCCAACTGAGCTGAGGCTCGACCCAGCTACCTTCTTGCTGCGAGGCGACAGCACTACCTACTGTGCCACTGCTTCGCCCTGTTTGGTATCATTTCTTCATCGCCTTCTCAGAACAAGTACTTCTTCATTTAAACAGCTTAATATATGATCTATGAATGTATTATTTCATCTATAATCTTTATGTTGAGTGGAGGTAGCAGAGAACTGCTGTATTTACAACACATTAATTAGAGTTAATTGTACTTTTCCCAAATTACATGAAAGTTTGTTTAATTGAGAGAATAGAAAAAACCTTCTAGTTACTTATACACTGTAAAGCACATTTTTTAGATTATGTGTAAAATGATTATTACTTCAATCACCATAGACATTAGCAAATACAGTTATGTATAAGTCAGAATTATTAGCCCCTTTTGATAATTCTTTTTTTTTTTTTTTCTCCAAATGATGTTTAACAGAGCAAGGACATTTTCACAGTATGTCTGGTAATATTTTTTCTTCTGCAGAAAGTCTCATTTGTTTTATTTTGGCTAGAAAAAAAGCTGTTTTTAAATTTTTAGAACTTATTAAAGGTCAAAATTATTAGCCTCGTTAAGCTATATTGTTTTCGATACTCTACAGAACAAACCATCGTTATACATTACCTTGCCTAATTACCCTAACCTGCCTAGTTAACCTAATTAACCTAGTTAAGCCTTTAATTCAGTTCAATTCACCTTTGTTTATATAGCGCTTTTACAATGTAGATTGTGTCAATGCAGCTTCACATAGAAGATTAAAGTAAATTAAAACAGTGTCAGTTCAGTTTTAAATGTTAAAATGTCACTTTAAGCTATATATAAGTGTCTTGAAAAATATATATTAAAATATTATTTACTGTCATCATGACAAAGATAAAATAAATTTGCTATCAGAAATGAGCTATTAAAACTGTTATGTTTAGAAATGTGCTGAAAAAATCATCTCTTTTTGGCAATTGGGGGAAAAAAAGGGGCCAATAATTCAGCTGGACTAATAATTCTGACTTCAACTGTATATTACAAAACATAAATGTTTTGTTTTGCTAGAACTTATGTGTATTTAAGGGTGAAATCACACTAGCCATGGTTTCCTTCAACCGAGTTCAGGTGTGATTAACCCCCTTACCGCTCCCCTTATGGCTAAGTTCACCCAAGCCTAATCAAACCAAGTTCTGGCCCACCTGTTCCAATGGTTTGGATAGCCAGTGTGAGTACACCCTGAATGTCTGAAACCTAAAATAGACATTATTTGTTTGAAAACACTGATAAATTATGATTTATGACAAGCTTGGCACACCTCTGTCTCTGGGAAGACATTGATTGTCTGAATGTTCTTAATGATTGTATGCACTGGGGACCAGCCTACACTGATCACACCAGTGTGATTGTGTTCATAAATAGTTTAAAATAAAGTAAAAACTCACCTCTTACATCTCCAATAACACAGCTGAATCTAAATAGGAAGCAGCCAATTTTGTCACTTTTCGGGGTCCCCCAACACTTTTTCATTGTGGTTTTCGCTACTTGCAGAGTGTATCTGTATTTGCACATGTTGTGAGAATTTGTATGCACGTGTTGATGTTTTCTCAGTTTGTTGTTTTTGGCCAGTGTAAAAAGGGTTTAAGTAGCGCTCAAAAGAGTTTGCTATTAGCAACACTAGTGGCCATTGAGGGAACTGCACCCAACAACATATTGTTAATGTTCACATTTAAAACATACCATCGTGGCATAGATTCAACAAGGTGCTGGAAATTACTCAGCAATTTTGGTCCATATTGACATGTTGCTCCACGCAGTTGCTGCAGATTTGTCCGCTGCAAATCCATGATGCAAATCTCTTATTCCACCACATCCCAGATGTGCTCTGTTGGATTGAGTTCTGGTGACTGTGGAGGCCATTTGAGTACAGTGAACTCATTGTCTTGTTGCAGCAGAAATTGAGACTCATCAGAGCAGGCAACGTTTTCCAATCTTCTATTGTCCAATTTTGGTGAGCTTTTGGGAATTATAGCCTCAGTTTCATGTTCTTAGCTGACTGGATTGGCACCAGGTGTGGTCTTCTGCTGCTGTAGCCCATCCGCCTCAAGGTTGGACATGTTGTGCGTTCAGAGATGCTCTTTTGCATACCTCAGTTGTAGCGAGTGGTTATTTGAGTTACTGTTGCCTATCCATCAGCTCAAACCAGTCTAGTCATTCTCTTCTGACCTCTAACATCAACAGGGCATTTGCACCCACAGAACTGCCATTCACTGGATATTTTCTTTTTTTCAGACCATTCTCTGTAAACCCTAAACATGGTTGTGTGTGAAAATTCCAGTAGATCAGCAGTTTCTGAAATACTCAGACCAGCCCATCTGGCACCAACAACCATGCCACATTCAAAGTCACTTAAATCACCTTTCCTCCCCATTCTGATGCACGGTTTGATCTGCAGCAGATCATCTTGACTATGTCTACATGCCTAAATGCGGTAAGTTGCTGCCATGTGATTGGCTAATTAGAAAAAAACGAGCAGTTGGACAGGTGTACCTAATAAAGTGGCCGCTGAGTGTACATTTTGTCTTTCCTTCTAAGTAATAAATAAAATAGGCAGTGGCGAGAAAACTGACATGCATCCAGCATGCATTAAGCATACAACTGTATTACAGTATTGGTGGCATGTTGATGGTGTTAAACAAATCGCTGTTCCCTATCCTTTCTATTCTTGGCTAAAAATTCAAACCCAAAAAAGGGAATTTGAAAAGTCTTCGACTGCTTCGCTCTGCGCTGCACATCTTAACCATCTCACAATCCCCCAATTCATGATATGCATAGAGAAGGGTCATACTGGTGCGATGGATTTTTTTTCTCGTTTAGCCCTGCTGGCTTTCTTCAGTTTTCACAATGACCTCCACACTTTTTACCATCTTATAGATTAGGTGCAGCGTGTCTTGAAATTGCTTGGTGACTGAAGCCGAACAAAGTAGATGCAAGCATTCAAGCATGTCATGGTTTATGCTTAGTGATAAATCATGCTTACCCACAAGCCTTTACACTGTCATGGCCATTTGGTTGTACTATTTAAGTGACATCTTCTTTAACCGGCTCCCCTGTGTAAATTCTCGGAATTTGGTTGTTCTGTCATTTTTGTGTTTGTTATTGCACATGTCAATTGCATAATTTATGACGAGGCCCCCACCAGATTATTCTGATTATGAACCTCTGCTGCAAATAGTTACACATTCAAGGGATTGTTCACCCGCCAAAAATATATCTGTCATTATTTGCTCATTCTCATATCGTTTCAAACTTGAATGCTGCTATTTGTTTGGTGCAAAATAGTGGAATGATTTGAAAAATTATGCATGAATGGACATCTATGAAACAAATAACTTTTTTATTGTGCTAAATCAGTCAGTTTGTTTTATTTGTTTCTTGTTTTACCATTTTCCTGCATTCCGAGAATTCATCCACGTTTATTGTAACATTATCATTCATTCCCACCATCCACATTTATTTATTTATTTATTTATTTATTTATCCATCCATCCATCCATCCATCCATCCATCCATCCATCCATCCATCCATCCATCCATCCATCCATCCATCCATCCATTTATCCATTTTATTTTCCTTGTTTTCATCCATTAAAATTGTGCAAGTAGAAATAAAGCACAGCAGTGGCTTTCTCAGTGAAAAAAATCATCAAATTCAGGCAAATTAATCAGGTCTAATTTACAGAAAAGTGTTGGGACAGGAAATTCTCACAATGCTGCTAATGACCCATAACTATACCCTGGACATAAGTAATTAGACCTTTTACATTAGCAGGCATTTAGGAGGTGCAATTATAAATTATAATGTCATTTGCATATAATAATTTAATAATGTTTTTAGAATGATATGGAATTTTGATAAACATGCTGTCAAGTGTTAAATTAAATGTCAAGTATGGGCAAATGATGACATCCTTGCAATTACTAAGGGTTATGCATTCAACAGGGCTGGTTATTTACATCTGCTAACTCAAAAATTAAATTTCCTTACCGTTTACTCACACTCAAC